TCAATGCACAAAGTTCACATTACTGTAAAAACTTTAACTATAAACAATATGTTCAATTTACATTGAGACACACATCCATCAACACACTTACTTTCATTACATTCTGAAACAAAAATGGCTCAGCACAGACCATGCATAGATTTTTCAACATGGTTCTTTGGCGGGCCATATTTGGAATCAGGTTTGAATCTCCATAGGAAAATGGATTATCATTGCACATGGTTTTCGAACTTCACTGTTTTGTTTCTTACAAGAGATGTACAATTACATTTGAAAACAAACAGGCAAGGACATAAGTTCACTTGATGTTAGTCAGAGGAGCTAATAACTGGTGGAAGCCTTCCAGCACTGTCCAATCCAGTTAAACATTACTGAGTCAAAACATTTTTTTCTGCTTTTACAAAGTCATTGCTGTCTTCCTGGGAAATGATATTTATGAGCTTTTGAAGTGTACAGCTCATGCTCAAATAAACGTGACTTCCAAATGTCACAACAATATGTCATAGGCTATCTGGGAAATCAACGTTAATTAATTGTTCAGCCTTACAACTGTAGCTCAAAATGCCACCATCTTGCAGCCTGGTTGTTAATTCACAGTCAAGTTATGATGACAATTGTTGTTATAATGGGTACCTTGTGACTGAACTTTGATAGGGGTGTAAGATAGGTAGTGGTACATACCCTTAGTCATGACAGTTAGTATGCTGGGACTCTTGGGTAGGTAGCAGGACACACCCTTATTGTGGACAGTTAGTGTGATAGACACCCTTCACTCACTCATGCCAAAATTTGTTCCTATTGTTTTACATAACATTATCATGCGTTATAAATCATAGTAACAAAACAACCACAAAAGCAAAAACTTCCTATTGTGAAACTTTGGCATACCCTAAAAAGAACATATTGAGATTGTAGATTGGCTTTGCATGAAATAGGCTAACATGCCCACATAATCTGACATGGCCAATTTCGCCAATGTGATTAAAAGTGACCCAACAACACTGAATTGTTTCTGGGTGTAATCGAAGCAAAATAGTATTAGCAATACTGGCGCCAAATTATGGCAAGAGCCATCAAGAATGGGCATCACAGACTGTACCAATGTGGAGACCTAAACCCAGAGTGACATGTGAACAGCTTACCCACTAGGCCATGTGAGAGGGAGCAGGGTTAGGTCATACAGACCATGAAACCAATATATGACAGTGGGAGTGGAACTCTGATACTCTGATCTGCTCTATCCAATACACAAGTCGGCCATGTTGTAGGTATGCTGCAATACAAACAACTAGCTTCTTCAATAACAGATGATACTTATAGTTGTTTATCACACATACCTTGTCATCTTGTTTCTGTGCACTCGCCTACACAGATGTGGTTCATCATAATGATATATTGTTTGAGGATTTCCTCATAACATGTACTTTCAGTATACAGTTTCCTTCTCAGCAAGGAGAATGTGAGTGAGTGCTTCAGAAATAAAACAGTATGTTGTCAGGCTAAAACCACTAAAATCAGTTGATTCTGAGCCAGGAATTCACAGGCCATTTGGAATGAGAATTTATACAAGTATAATCAACCAGCAACTGATCGTTATGGAAAATGATAGCAAAAACTGCATATAAACCATGACGTGATCTAAGTCAGTGAATCACGTGAATCTTTTGCGTTTGAAGTAGAATCAACTGATCTGGTGTTGACAACAATCACGTGTTTGTGACAGCCGATTCAGAAGAAATGGTCAAGGTTATTCATATTTAATATTTATATCAAGTTGAGCTACAAAATCTGAAAAGCATGCCTCGTGAATACATATATACAAAGAGGCATAACTCTGTACTTGTGAGTGAGAGCTGTACATCCTGCACGTCATTCTGTCTCACCTTCGCTGAGGTTCATCATGTTACCATCCATTCTGTCTTTGGTGTAATATTTAGCCCTAAATGCACCTTATCAATATGTTTTCACTGGTTCTGAATCTCCCATCTCATTGGAGCTGCTTTTCAATTTAAATGGAATTGTTTCTATAAAACTTATACATTGGCAAAGACTAAATGTTGCTCTGAGCCTGCACATCGTATCAGAAGTTGACACGCCCTGCTCTTGGAGGATGCATAAACATTCACCCTTATTCAATTCCATTCAAGCTTTTACAGTTACCGTAATCATTTCCCCTGCCTTATACTAAAAATATTCAAGCATGCAGCAAGCCATAACTTTCTTTTCATCTGCCAACAAGAGTGAGTGAGTGAGTAAGTATGGTTTTACGCCGAATTTAGCAATTTTCCAGCAATATCATGGTGGGGGACACCAGAAATGGGCTTCACATATTTTACCCATGTGGGGAATCGAACCTGCATGATGAAACACTTTAACCACAGGTTTACGCAACCATCCCTCTGCCAACAAGACAAAAACTGCCTAGCATCACACTGTAGACAGTGTATTAAAGAGAGAATGGGTGTATCCTTCAAGTATGTGAGGCTGTAGGCACACTGGAAGCAGAAAACTCACTGGTTTCTACTATAAACAACATTCCACGAAGTTTAGGTACAACACACAACCAGCCAGTAGTCACCAATTGTATCTATCCAATACACATCTACAGCAACAAATATGGTTGCCAGGAGCTATCCTGACTTGGTGAACCACAACTAGCCTTGTGACCAGTCACTCACTGTATCCATCCAATACACTTCTACAGCCACAAATATGTCCAGGAGCTATTCTGACTTTCAGAAACACAATAAACCACATGACTAGTCATTCTCTGTATCCATCCCAATACACATCTATAGCCACAAATATGTCCAGGAGCTATTCTGACATAAAGAACCACAATAAGTCAAATAACTAGTCACCCATTGTGTCTTTCCAATCCACATTCTCCATGTGAAATTCCTCATGTGGCCTTCCCTGCTTCAACAATCCTAGAGAAAGAGCCACCTCGTGATATACTACACAACACCTACAATCTGCCTGGCCACTCACACAGTGACAACCTGGCCTGAAACCCATTAGTAAGGAGGAGACAAACCATCCACTTGACAACTCCAATATCTGCCTCCATCATGGTGCCAAATCTACTAGTTGTATCTGTTTCGGATGTTGAGAAGTGAGCTCCAGTTGTTGGGAAGAGCTCCTACTAGGAGGAATCCTATTGAGACAGTGTGAGACCCGGTACCACCACTTCTTGTTATTGTTGATAAAAATATTGATTTTTCATGAGACCTCAATATAGCCTGCATTTTGGCATGATCTTTCGTCTGTCTCAGCTAATCCATTACCTCAAACCCAACAACGAGATATGGAAGGAATCAAACATTAACAGTGTTAATTACATTAATTGTACGTTAATTACACCCATGTCAACAGCTGTTGGCTATTTCTTGCACCACCATGTATCCCACAATACAGTGCCCTGTCAATATAGGGTACTAGGCCATGGGATATTACACCACAGCATTATCAATGTCCATTCAAGAAGCCAATGAAGGCAATGTTTCTAATGGGATACGGGTCAAATGACAACCCTCCTGCCATGAGCAGCGAACAATAGATCGGCCTTTTTCTTGTCAACAGATCAGGGTCATGTGTTGTCTGGCGATCAATTACAACCATGAAACTCAATTACATTAACACAGCGAAACAGTCTAGACATTGGTCGGTTTCTTCTTACACTGAAAGTCCTATCACACCACTAGAACTCTTGGACGTTATGCATGCACTGATGATGAAACTTGGGGGACGACAAACAGGCATTCACCTACCTTCATCTTTCACAGCATCCTTAGAAATATGTTTTCACTTTCAGGGTTAAAGAGCTTTAAAGTCCAAACATGGTATAACACATTTCATGAACAGCTGATTTGGAATGGCCGTAGGATGACAAAAGTTACTTCCCTTTGAATATGGACTCTCACATAAATAATTAATTATTGTCTCGTAGTTCGAACTGATTGACTCCGTGCTATTGTCAAATGACTGCTGCATATCATTTCTTGTCGGCAAGCATCTGTCACCTTCTTGTTTTTCTACAGATATATGATTGCTAGCTTCATTTAAGAAACACAGCCTAAATACATTACTGCTGAACCATGCATGAGACACAACAACTGTTATGTGCGCTCAGGTACACAAAACACTAAATATGTCTAAATTAAATCAATTGTCCATTTATACTGCCTCTAACATGTTCTTGTGTAAGTCTGACTCAATCAGTACCACATGCCTCTTGTATGATGTGCATTACAAGTGAAATCTAGGTTGGTTTGTTGTTAAATGCCACACTCAGCAATATTCCGTGATATGCAGCATTTTGGGAATCTCAGTAGATGATATTTAGGACATAATAGGATATTAAGGATATAATAAGTTTAGAACTTTCTCATTGGACAGTTGCAAAACCTCAGTGAATCACACATCAATAGTCGTTTCTTTGCCTCTGGATTTCACTTGTATTTGTTTGTTTGTTGTTTAAAGCCGCACTCAACAATATTCCAGCTATATCTTGGTGGTCTGTACATAATTGAGCCTGGACCAGACAATCCAATGATCAACAGCATGAGCATGGCAGCCTGTGACAGGAGTGTCATTTCAAGATGAAGTCAAGTCAACAAACAATGCTGCTGATTTAATCCATTTTTGCCAGACATTTTCAGCCAGTGTGGCAGATTATTACAATAGTTTTTCATTCTATAATAGTTGGCAAGATCTCTAAAAAGATACGAAATATGTTACTGTTGTAGGAATCTGCCAAAGATTTTTTGCCAGAATCTGTACTTAACTTGTTTCAGGAAAGCAGCACATAGAGTTGTCTCAGTCTGACATATCTGTACCATTGTACCACATATTATTATTATTATAGGATACTTATATAGCGCACATATCCAGGCAACTAGTGCTTGCTCAAGGCGCTGATATTATCCAGTTACAGTACATCTGTGTGGAGCCCAGTCAATGTCACATTTACTTGATACATGCTGAAGTAAACAACTCACTCAAGTGTCTCCGTGTAAGAGCTGTTGACCGCCGTCCAGTCTCGGTGAAGATGACCAGCAACGTCGTTGATCCTCGCCACCTCATCTTCATTGGCCGACTGGTACAGGGCATCCTGCTTCTGTGACTCCAGCTCATCAACTGTTCCTCGACACTTGTCTAACTCATCTTTCAGTTTCTGAAAACATGGACAGGGAATATGAATTACTTCAGGTAAACTGTCTGGACTAATATATGGCATAAACATACCTGCATTGCAGTTACAACTACTGACATGAGAGGGTGTGGTTAGACAGTCCGGTGGGCACAGAGATCCCTCACCATACTTGTAAAGATCAAAGTTCAATTTCACATCGGTAGAATATTATTATCATTATTATAGGATATTTATATAGTGCACATATCCATGCAACTAGTACATGCTCAAGGTGCTGCCGTGTTCCCTTGATCAACGGATGTCTTTTTCTGGCATTCTTTTAACAACTCAACTCCCTGGGGAGTATTCAACTCATGCAGCATAGTCACAGTATTTTGTCCAATGATACCGCACGTTATTATACCGAAACTAGCCACCTGCATGTGTTCGTGTGTCCACCATCTGGTCACCTACCATCAGATGAGTGGGTTCTTTAAGTGCACAGGGTTGTGTACTGACAACACTGAAAGAGCCTGCAAGTAACGTTAGCTCCAAGGTTTTCACACCCGGTCACAAGTGGGGATCGATCCAGGCACCTATCACTTACTAGCATGGCGCCTCAGCCAGCTCACCCACCATGCCCTGGTACCTGTGATACCTGTGTTTATTCTTGGTCAGAAAAGGTCTCAAACAAGTGATGCTTGTCAAGGAGGTTAACAAATGGTGAGGTGGTCTGCCTTGAAGACTAATTTTATACCTTTCACTATACTTTAAAAAGCAAAACATATTACCTCAATATGTTTACAAGGTTTTATTAATTCCTTAGTAGTAAAGTATAATCTGTCACTTTTGCTGCAATGCACTTGCCTAAATAATGATAGAAGGGTACATAAAATCTTCAGAATTCTACAGATTGGTACAGGGGATGTGGTACATTGAATAAGAGTCGGAGACTCCTGACATACAATAGGTGTGTCTTTATTATTTTCTTATCAGCATACATCATCTTTATAATGAACTTCCCAAGGGATCACAGGGTACAGAGTAGGTCCCAATACTCACTTGCTGGTCACAAGATAACAAATGGGGATTGGGTGGTCAATAGGCAGTCATCTTTCTCAAGTGGCTTGGACATTTTGTGAGTGAGTGAGTGAGTTTGGTTTTACGCTGCTTTTAGCAATATTTCAGGAATATCACAGTTGAGGACATCAGAAATAGGCTTCACACATTGTACCCATGTGGGGAATAGAACGCGGATCTTTGGCGCTTAACCACTAGGCTACTCCACTGCCCCTTTTGGACATGTTGCTCATGCTAGCAACTTGTGGTCTTTCTGGACAAGGCTTCAGTCAGTACAAGCTCCCTAGCAACTTGTGGTCTTTCTGGACAAGGCTTCAGTCAGTACAAGCTCCCTAGCAACTTGTGGTCTTTCTGGACAAGGCTTCAGTCAGTACAAGCTCCCTAGCAACTTGTGGTCTTTCTGGACAAGGCTTCAGTCAGTATAAGCTCCCTAGCAACTTGTGGTCTTTCTGGACAAGGCTTCAGTCAGTACAAGCTCCCTAGCAACTTGTGGTCTTTCTGGACAAGGCTTCAGTCAGTACAAGCTCCCTAGCAACTTGTGGTCTTTCTGGACAAGGCTTCAGTCAGTACAAGCTCCCTAGCAGCTTGTGGTCTTTCTGGACAAGGCTTCAGTCAGTACAAGCTCCTAGCAACTTGTGGTCTTTCTGGACAAGGCTTCAGTCAGTATAAGCTCCCTAGCAACTTGTGGTCTTTCTGGACAAGGCTTCAGTCAGTACAAGCTCCCTAGCAACTTGTGGTCTTTCTGGACAAGGCTTCAGTCAGTACAAGCTCCCTAGCAACTTGTGGTCTTTCTGGACAAGGCTTCAGTCAGTATAAGCTCCCTAGCAAATTGTGGTCTTTCTGGACAAGGCTTCAGTCAGTACAATAAGCTCCTAGCAGCTTGTGGTCTTTCTGGACAAGGCTTCAGTCAGTACAAGCTCCTAGCAACTTGTGGTCTTTCTGGACAAGGCTTCAGTCAGTACAAGCTCCCTAGCAACTTGTGGTCTTTCTGGACAAGGCTTCAGTCAGTACAAGCTCCCTAGCAACTTGTGGTCTTTCTGGACAAGGCTTCAGTCAGTACAAGCTCCTAGCAACTTGTGGTCTTTCTGGACAAGGCTTCAGTCAGTACAAGCTCCCTAGCAACTTGTGGTCTTTCTGGACAAGGCTTCAGTCAGTACAAGCTCCCTAGCAACTTGTGGTCTTTCTGGACAAGGCTTCAGTCAGTACAAGCTCCCTAGCAACTTGTGGTCTTTCTGGACAAGGCTTGTGGTCTTTCTGGACAAGGCTTCAGTCAGTACAAGCTCCCTAGCAACTTGTGGTCTTTCTGGACAAGGCTTCAGTCAGTACAAGCTCCCTAGCAACTTGTGGTCTTTCTGGACAAGGCTTCAGTCAGTACAAGCTTCAGTCAGTACAAGCTCCCTAGCAACTTGTGGTCTTTCTGGACAAGGCTTCAGTCAGTACAAGCTCCCTAGCTACTTGTATCTTCACAATACCTTCTGTATTTCACCACCACCGAATGTTTAACACATCACCATGTTGAAGTTCCATCACACATTCTACAGCAGTTGTCTAAGAGACAAAGTAATACCTCATAAACTTCTGCCAATCAGCATCAAACACCCATGCCTAAAAAATACACGCTACTCTCTGAGTTCTTTTTTTTAAACAAACAATCTTTGGAACACAAATAAGCACCAAAAAACATGATACAATCTCAAAGCGTAGTCAACTCATATCACAAATCATCCATAACTGCAGAAGTATTCTCACACCAAAAAAACAAACTATGTTTGCTTACAAAACATATTAGGCACAAGCTAAAGTGAACTAACTGGAACAGCATAATGAATATTCATCATGTGATTGTCAAGACATAAGCTCTGATGTGAACTTGACGTACTGTGTTGGTATCAGCTGACAGAGGCAACGAGACTACAATATACACATGTCTTGACCTTCTAGCTCTCTTTACCTTTAATGTTTCAAAACATTGGACACACATTAACTTTCCATATCCAGACAACTGTTTCGTGATTAACTGGTAACAGAACGGGATGAGGTTTTGTTGTATGATTGCCCTGAACAATGCTTCTGACTATATATTGCTCTCTACAGAGTTTGTGTAGTAAAGTAAATAAATAAGTAGTCTGTGTTGTTATTGTTGACATATTTAGCTATAAAGCCTTACATCAGTATGTGTAAGGAGTTATAAATGTAAAGGTGAGGTGAGGTGAAACTGGGTTTAACATCGTGCTGGAGAATATTTCGCTCATATGACGACGTGCATGCGTGTGTATGTGTATGTGCGGCTGCTTGTACTAGCCCAGACTTAAGCTGGTTTTATAGTGCTAGCCCACTGAGATACCATGCCGCAGTGAAGCATGAATACCCCTCTCAGACACATTATACTGACTCTGAGACGACCAGTCCTTGTTGTACCCATTAATGCCGAGCGCCAGGCAGGGACCAACAAGTACCATATTTTAACGTCTTATGGTATGACGCGGTCGGGGATCGAACCCGCGACCTTCCGCTCTCTGGTCGGACGCTCTAACCACTACACCATGGAGGCGGTCTATAAATGTAAAGAACTGTATGCAGATATATATTGAATTCACCAGCTTTTACAATTATACCTCCATAAACCAAAATGATATTGAGGTCAATCCTGAAATAATTACAAAAGATATCCTAACCCCACATATATACTTTATTGTGTTTGTATTTGTTTCGAAGATGCCCCCTTGACCGCCCTCAACCCTCCTGTATTTATCTCTTGTTCTAACCCATGATACACGACACTTCCAAACTGGCAGTCTCACTGACTTAACAAACAACATGGACATACTGGGAAACACAAATAAACAGCAGCTATGGAAAATTTAAACCAGAATAAAAGCTTGAAAGAAGAGCTATGAATGTTCTAATACACTACAAAGAATCCGAAGCTTTTGAATCAGATCACAAAAGGAAAAAAATGACCTGATCACTTTGAAATTTTGGGGATGAAAGTGACACAAATACCAATCAAGGACGTTTTGGTGCAAGCGTGTGTGAACGATGACTGATTTCTAGTCCCCATTCAAGACAATTTCAAACACATATTATATATCTAATTAAATTTTAACCACAGTGAAATTTAAACTTTTTTCACAAACACCTTGAAACAGTGTGACAGTTTACTCCTAAATCTTCAATTACATCTGTTTCAACAAGACGGAGAGAGATCAAAGGCATGCACACATTCATTTGACGCAGCAATTTCTGAACATAAATAGCTCTGTGAGTTATTTTCCTCCAAGCTCCCTCCTCCATTCCACCTCTCACAAATCCTTGCTGGTGCCATTGTGAGCTGATGAGGTCTGGAGCTGGGTTCAAAGACATCGCCCTCCACCGTACCTCCCAGTGAATGTTATCAAGGCAGTGGATTACTCTTGTGACTGCATCTACGCAAGACCTGATCAGATGATAGGCTCCACTGGCAGGACTCTCTCCACAAAGCCTCATGGACATTGCGCACTTCCTCACAACAAAAGGCTATTTTTGTTTTTGCTTTTATTTATCAAAAAGTAGCCCATTTGTTGGCTTTGATGTTGATATTTCTCTCGTTTATTTCCTATCAGTTCTGTCAGGTTGGGAATACGGATGACATGAACATGTTGTGTTCAGCTGTTGAAGTGTAGGGTAGGGATGCATGGTGATATGTATAGCGTATAGAGCTGTGAGATACGGGGTCGGGAGAAGTGTGTGAGTGTGAGAGAGAGAGAGAGATATCTGTCATTGTGTGAGATAGTTTGAACATGGGTCTGTGATGAAATAGTGTGCATATGTGTGTCTGTGTCTGTGTGAGCGAGTGAGTGAGTTTAGTTTTACGCCACACTCAGAAATATTCCAGCTATATGGCAGCGGTCTGTAAATAATCGAGTCTGGACCA